ATGCTTTCCAATGACATAAGTAACGAGAAAATGAAAATATTGCCAAAAAGGTTAAAATTCACATTTTATCAGATATAAGGGCCATGGCCTGCCCTCCAGTATCATGAAAATACCTTTTTTTGGACCATTGGATCCAAAGGCCTATCTGACCAATTTAGAGACCCGAGTACAAAATTCCATTTATATAGGTGGTTAGGCTGGGACATTTTTACAAAAAAAATAATAATAAATTTGTGCAATTTTTGTTTCGGATGGCATTGTCGTCCCAATAAATCAGTAAAAAATATAGAAATAATCAATTTTGACTGAAATAGCTGTCGAACGAGTAATCATATCACAATTTGGAAGTCATTTTTGACTTTCTTAGACAAGCTTACTTCGGAATAGTCCTATATTATGGGGCCCACATGAGTAGCTAGAAAATGGAAAAGTTGCAAACGCTAAAATTCACATTTTTGTCGAACCTCCAAGCTCGTCTCCAGACCGAACCGCTCGACCTAGTACGCTCAAACTTTATTTTTTAATTTTTAATTTTAGTCATGAACATGAATAAGTTTGCAGTACCGTTGTGTCTAGACGTAACCTGTTACGTTATTCGAATGTTCAGATACGTATACGTATCACAGGTAGATTAAATAAACAATGGCAATAATTCTAGAGGTAGTAGGTTCAAAAATAACACAAAAAGCTCGTGTAAACATAGATCAATAACGACAAACAAAAACAAATATATTTTCTACTTTTTTGAAACAACTACTCGTATATCACATTTTTGAGGTAAGATTTTAAATTTGACATAGATTAAGAAGTTTTTGTAAGACCATTCCTTTTAAAAAGAAATTGAATATATATAGATATAACAAAAAATAGAAAAATAATGGGAAAAGTGTATTCGAGCAGAAAATAGGATAGGTAACCCGAGCAATACGTATTTCAGTTTGTTGGCTTCATCAGGCCCGAAATGAATAAACATATGCAACGGCAAAAGTAGATACACATGCCCATACATCCGGATAAGGGTGTTACCTGAGGAAACAAAGATGGAGAGTAAATGAAATGACACACGAAGTCCCCAACAAGTTAGTGCCAACCTACACATTGTAGTATAAAATGGCTAGAAGACCTCAAACTTTCAAGGCGACATCTAACCACAACCACGCGGCCGGTTATAGCCACTTGCTGTGGTACTCCAAGCCCAAACGATCTACAAAGAAAAATGATCATGAGGAGAGAGGTATATAACAAAAAATAATGCATTCATTTTGGGCCTGATGAAGCCAACAAGCAGAAATACGCATTGCTTGGGTTACCTATCCTATTTTCTGCTCGAATCCACTTGCCTTCTTTTTCCGGATTTTGCCCATTATTTTCCTATTTTTTTGTTATATACCTTTCTCCGTATGATCATTTTCTCTTTGTTGATCCTTTGGACTTGAAGTACCACAACAAGTGGCTATAATCGGCCGCGTGGTTGTGATTAGATGTCGTCTTGAAAATTTGAGGTATTCTAGCCATTTTATACTACAATGTGTAGGTTGGCTGTTGTTGGGGACTTCGTGTGTCATTTTTTCCCTCTCCATCTTCGTTTCGTCAGGTTACACCCGTATCCGGAAGTCTGTGCATGTGTCTCTACTTTTGTGGTTGCATATATGCATTCATTTCGGGCCTGATGAAGCCAACAAGCAGAAATACGTATTGGTCGGGTTACCTATCCTATTTTCTTCTCTTTTTGCAGATTTTGCTTATTGTTTTCCTATTTTTTGTTATGTACCTTTCTCCGCATGATCATTTTCTCTCTCTCTCTCTCTATATATATATACAGGGTGACTTCGAAGTTGAGTCATTTATTTTATCAGTGAGTAGATCTGATCAAAAGAAATGTTTTTTCCTTTAACATTTTGGTGGTAAAATTAAAGTAACAAAGTTATAGCCCTTTAGAAGTTTGAGTACCGCCCTGTCTCAATAATAATATTATGTGCTCGTGTTTGGCAACAACGGATATAATCCGCCTTATCGGTTCATCGCATCGGAAACAAAAAAGCGAAAGAATTTGAAACGCTGATCACGATGTTTTTATTCAGTCAATGTGTCAGTCGGTAACGCGTGAGTGAATAGTGGTGTTTGCTGCGTGGCTCAAACGAAATAAAAAATGGCACATGTTCATGCGGATCGGTTTCCCAATCGAGTGCAACCAATCCCTCGTGCCTTTGTTAATGTAATACAACGGGCTCGTGAATCAGGTGACTTAAGACCTCACAGGGGAGGGCATGCCGGTGCTCCAAGACCTCACCATCAAATACAGGTCCGCACTGAAATACTTGTCGGTAGGATACTTTATAAAACAAGGTAATTTTTTTTTATTTTTTTTTTATGTTTACACACATATTTTGGTTTATCTTCCTTCTACAATCATTATCTGAAATTTAATGACTCAACTTCAAAGTCACCCTGTATATATATAATTAAATGGTAATCAGTAGAAAAAATGAGACAAATGACAAATTTGAAGATATAGTGGGGGTACTGAATAACCCCACCTCACCTCAGCGTTATTTGAAAAATATTCATGTTTTGTCAATTTTTCATTACCCTGTATTTTAGTGATAGACCATTTTATGTCCTGCAATGGATCAAAAAAGTATTAGCACACCCAATTTTGAATAGATGAATTTTCTGATACCACATTTATTTAGAAACCAACATCGAACTAATAATGTTTGATGGAAATAGATTGATCGAATTCAGGTCCTGCAATTACTGCAAATATTTAAAGGACTGGCTTAGAAGATTGTGTAGGAACATTGAAAAGCTATTGCGCAAAATGTCAACATACTTATCTGCATTCGTAATGCCTGCGATGAAGCTTAGCATTCCAACACCATTGCACGGCATGAAGTTCCAGACTAAAACGTTCCCGCCATCATGTTTCACAGTTGGGCAGTCATGTCTCATTTTCAAATTACTTGTTAGGTTTTCTCCATACATATTTGCGATTATCAGTACCGAAATCTTGATCTTACTTTAGACTACGAGGTTTTGGTTCTGATGACATATGTTTGTACTTAATTTGAAATCAGACATGTCAGCCCAACAGTTAAACATGATAGCGGGAACTTCTTAGTCTGGGGCTGCATATCGTGAAATGGTGTTGGAAAGCAAAGTTCATCGATAACATTATGAATGCAGACAAGTTGTTGACATTATGCGCAATAACTGGAACAGGATTACTGAAAAAATGGCGATCTTTCAACAGAATAACGATCCTAAGCACACCGATACTAAAACAAAGGAATGGTTACTTTACAACGTTCCTTCACAACTCAAAACTTCACCGCAATCTTTTGTGACACTTGCTAGACCTGAAGACCCGAAAAAGTAAATTTGAATTTGAAGGGGACTAAATTGGACCAGAAATGACTCAGTAGTAATTTTTTCACCTGTTTTTATATTTAGTGTGCCAATATCTTTTTGACCCTTAAATTTTATAATTCCAATTGGTATTCTTAAATTATTTTTCATTAGTCTAATCATAATAGCAAATTTCCTCGAAATAATTGTACAGTTTGGTTTCATTGATGCAAGTTATTCAAGGGGGTATTTAAATCATGGACCCATAAAATGGGTACATTAATTTTTGTAGGAAAACTTTTTATTCAACAACAAAGAATGGGAAAATGTGTTTTCTGGGCTTCAATCTAAAGTGTTGGTAGAAATAAAAATCTCTTCAAACAAGATTTTTAGGTATTTATGAGGAATACAAAATGAGATCACACCTAAAAATATCCAACCAAAAAAGGGAGGGTTTTGGCAGTTGTTGGTAATGCGATGATAGTGACAAGCAGATACTTGAAATTTCTCACATCTGTAGGCTTTATACTTCTCAACAAAATTGGAGTGGATTGCTCAAGTAGTTTTTGCAAATTTTTCATTGTTCTCCGGCCTTCACTACTAGGTTATTGAAAAATATATAAGGTTCGTTCAAAGGGCACTTTATATCAAAATATAGGACTTTACCTTGCCTATATAAATCGCTAAAAAATTCAAAACATGAGTGCTATTTTTTTTATTCTTATAGTATCTTGCATAGTTTTCAAGATTATACCAATTGTTTATAACAGATGTGATGTACCGTCAACGTTTGCTTGGCATTTGTCAGTGTGAATATAGTGGTATAAAGATCCAGCAGACCAACAGACGTCGTTGTGTAGTGGGAAGGATAGACGGTTGCAGAACCGAACAATTTGCATCAATAAAACCAAACAATTTTCGCAAACCTTACGAATTTTCGTCTAATATGATTAGGCTAAATTTGCTCAATCTATTGCCATCAAAATTGACTGTTTGTGTGTTAGTTGTCTAGTATCCATGAATTAATCTCTTGTTATTGAGATTTAAGGAAGAAACAGGGTGTTTCAATTTTTTTTTACCCACTGTATGTCTAAAGAACTTTGTATGTAATTTTTTGAAGTGCTTACTGCTACAAAAAGAGTTCCATTGTATTTTGAATAGCCATTGTCATGCGTTAACTTATGAAAGACGCTTCGTGGCACATGGGATCTCGGACTATAATGATCTTGTCGAACTTATGAGTCTCACGCATCTTTCCTGTGAAGACTGGTATAGACACACATTCTAGTCGTACTTCTTGCTTTCACAGTGTCAAAGCGTCATGTGTGGTACCAAATCATCACTTTTCAACCATAGGCTGATTTTTGCGCATGTACCAACTTGCTAGAGAAAAAGACCGAATATCTGAATTCTGGACGACCACAAGACGTTGGATACCACAAACACTTGCTTACAAATAAAATGTACGAGCAGGATAGGTGCCGATGCCAGCCTTTAGTGGCACAAAATCTTATATCGACGATAATTGGCAGAGCACAAATTTAGAATAATGTACAAGGTGAAAAATTGCAAAGATTGGTCTACAGACGCAAAGCATTTTTGATCTCGGATTTCGAGCTTTGTAGACTAAAAACTTGTTTTTTGCATTTTAGGCAAAAATCGGGGGCCATTCCTAAGGTATACAATTTTTCAGCAAAGAAATCCAAATTATTGGTGCCAATGAACAACTTCGCAGATTTTACAAAGCTGGAGTATATTAACTTCAAGGCAGCCATGTGGTATCAAGTATTATTCCTTGTTAAAACAAAGTATGTCTATAACATCCTTAAGTTTTTAATACAAACGGTGCCAGCCTACTTGATTCAGCCTTTAATAAGTTTAACAGGACGAAAACTGAGGTAAAGCATGCTATATGGTTATTAAGCCTATACCGAGTATCCGAGAATACATGGTCAATCTCACGAATACATGTATGTCTATAGACCACAAAAAAATAAGATCTTAAGTTGTCATGGAAAAGAGTGTGCTATGAAAATATAATAATCTCAAATAATTTTTGAACGACATAAGATATTAAGAAACTAAAAGAACTGAAGCCCTACGTGATGATGTCCATATAAAGCAGTCAACTCATTTAGATCATCAGGTGCGTGTTCGCCCTAACGCAATGTTGCTAATTTTGTTCACATCTTCTACAATAATGGTTCAAAAATATATTCCTGGAAATTATAATCATTTAATTCCATGCTACCCAATGGCAACACGCCTGAATTATCTACTTGTCAGCGGCCATATTTTGAAGGTGCGCCCTGGTTGTCAGATTGCTCTACATATAAACATGAGATTGCTATACTTTTATATATAGAAATTTGGTGGGATATGAGAGATCTTATAACAGCATGAATTATTAACATTTTAACAGAATTTATCCAGACCTACTCCAATGAGTACGTGTACACGTCATACGTATCAGCAACATCAAAAATTCCAAAACAGAAATTTCCAAAAACCAAGTGTGATCCCAGAGTAATCATTTAATTTACAAGATCAACCAGTGGCAGAATTTCCAAACGATGAAAATTATTATGAAAAGCAATATCCTCAGGAAAATAATTCCGAAGATTGTTTAGGCTAGGAAGCCTCGGAACCAATGACTCCAGCGACAAACCGACTTCAATTGAAATAATGAGTCTAATTGATAATTTTAGCAAGTTAGCATACATAACATTTCCAGAGTATAATCTCAAAGTACTTATCGACACGGGAGGTACGAAATCTTTCATACATCCTGAAATTTCGAAAAAATTATTCCCAAAATATATCAGGAAGGATCCATTTCAAATAACTTCAGCACATGGTTCATCTATCGAAAAATATAACCTGAAAATACCTTGTCCAAAAATTTTTAAAATTCCGAATATTCTTATGAAATTTCACTTATTCAGATTCCACGAACATTTTCAATGCCTATCAGGACTAGATAATCTAAAAGATGTATTGAACGCCAACATTGATTTAAGTAATGATATTTTGATTACACCCACAGCAGACATACCCTTACAGTATCACCAAGTCACTAAGAATACAACTAACGTTATTACTTTCCCACCTAGAACAGAGCAGATAATCAAGATTAACGTAAAAAATGTAAAAAACGGCAATGCTATTATTCCATACAGAAAACTGTCAAGTTTATCCCAGAATGTCTCATTGTAGTGAAAAATTATGTAACAATTTGCACAATTTTGCATTCATCCGAAGAATTCATCTCTCTCGACATATCTCGACCAATTGATGTAGAAAATTTTGAAGACTACGAATTTTCAAAAAATTCTGATCCACCAAATATTAATTTCCTTGAACTTTCAAAAATATAAATTCGATATTTCCAAAATTAGGACAGCGCACATGAAATCTGAAGAAAAAGAAGCAATTACTAAGTTGATAAGTGAATATTCAGACATCTTCCATATGGATGGAAATTATTTGACTTTTAATAGCAAAATAAAGCATCACAAAAGTACAAAAGCAAATTCAATCAATGCTTGATCAAAAAATTATTAGAGAAAGTTTTTCAGCATGCTCATCGCCGATCTGGATTATACCAAAAAAATTAGATGCTTCTGATCAAAAAAAGTGGAGAATGGTCATAGCCTATAGGAAGTTGTACGAAAAAACCTTAGGAGATCGTTACCCTCTTCTGAACATAACAGATTTATTAGATAAATTAGGGCGATGCAAATATTTTTCAACACTAGACTTAGCTTCAGGTTTCCACCAGACAGAAATGGCGGAAGAAGGTATTAGAGAAACTGCTTCTAGCACAGAGAACGGACATTACGACGAATGCCGTTTGGCTTAAAAAACGCACCGGCAACTTTCCAGCGCGTAATGGACAATATATACTAAGTGACATATAAATCCCACCACCCAGTTTAAATGGTTTTATTTTAATAAAATTTTGTATAAGTACTTAATGAAGCATAATAAGTAAATGATAAAAATTTCAAAATGATTGCACTGCTTTAAAGCCCTTTGACCTTTAATAATGTGTGGATGCACCCTGATGTGCTACGCATTCTCCAACGCGCCTAGGCATGCTTCTGATTAGGTGGTCAATGTCCTCCTGTGGTATCTCATTCCAGGCAACCACCAACTCCTCTCGAAGTGCTTCTAGAGTCTGAGGAGGACGTTGCAAATTGAGCAATCTCCTACCCATCATATCCCACACGTGCTCAATTGGGGATAAGTCGGGAGATCTTGGTGGCCATGGTAACAATGTGACATCATTATGTTGAAAGAGGTCTATTGTGACTCTTGCAACATGTGGTCGGGCATTATCTTGTTGGAAAGTTGGATCTGCCAGGGTGTCAAGACAGGGTAAAAGATGGGGTTCTAGAACTTCGTGGATATAACGCTGCGCGTTCATGTTACCTCTGATGAAGATTAAAGGTGACCTGGAACCATAAGCTATAGCACCCCAAAACATAACTCCAACAGTGTGATGAACATGTCTTTCAACAAAAAACTGTGGATTCCTCCTTTCACCACGTCGCCTTCTAACCCTGGCACGACCATCGTGCATACCTAAACAAAATCGAGACTCGTCACTAAAGACAATACTGTTCCATTCCTGATCCCAGAGTGACCGTTGTCTGCACCACTCAAGGCGATTACGTCGGGGTTCTCGAGTTAAAGGGAGGTCCCAGTGTGGCCGGTATGAAAACAAGCCAAAACTTCTCATTCGTCGGTAAACACTTCGCATGCCAATAGTTCTTCCGTGTTCTGTAAACCATTCATTTGCAATGGACATGGTAGTGGAGAAACGGTGCTTTAAGGCCAATAATCTTAGGCGGCGATCTCCACGGTCTGTTGTTCTACGGCGGCGTCCAGTGCCCCTTGCTCTTTGCGTACGGCCTTCTCGAAGCCATGCACAACACCTAACCACAGTGTCTAGACTTCTTTGCACTCTAAAGGTACAGATAGACATGCTCAAAACTAGCACAAAAGCATGCTACTAATGAGCAATTGCTACCTACTCGCACGTGTGTCTAAGCATTTGCTAGTATTCAGCATGCTCAAAACTAGCATGCTGACAAATCGATCGACGTTCGATTTTTGAACGTGCTACTTGAGATGTGGATGGAGGGGGAATCCCCTTGAGCAAGAGTGGACGCCTTTGCTAATAACGAGCATGCTAGTGTTCCGTCGCAAGTGTGCATGTGTGTTGCGACATCGAGCCAAAATGTCTCGCTGGGGAGATGAAAAGACGTTTAAATTTGTAAATCTTTACCGGAGCCATGAATGCCTTTGGAATCCAAAGCTACCGAATTACAAAAACAATATTTCAAGAAATAATGCGTATAAAGATTTGATAATAAACATGAATGATCCTACTCTAACTGTTAAAATTATAAAAATCCAAAATTAAAAATTTGAGGTATGTTTACCACTCAGAAGTGAAAAAAATTAACAGTTCGAAGCGATCCGGATCTGGTGCCGCAACAGTATATAGTCCATCCCTGCCATGGTTTAAAGAAATGCACTCTTTCCTTGGAGACACAGGTGATTACCGGGAAACTATTGAGACAGCAGTGGTAAGTTTTTATACTTTTATTATTATATCGCAGAGTTTTGTATAGAACATAATATATACTATAAGTACAGGTTGTTTATATCATATGGTCTTGCCATGGTACCGCTTCTGTAGTTTCAAAAAGTTGTGTATAAGCGTTTCTTATTGCTTCTGCCTTTCGAGAGACATGGTTACTATGACGCGCAGGTGGTAGGCTTCCCATAGCTGTACGCAGTTGTGTCCTCCATGCTCCTGGTACAACAACACGTTGTTGTACATCTTCAAAATCGACGCATCTGTGAGTGATGTACATATCGGATGTTTTTCGCAGCCAATTATGTAACGAGCAAGCAGCCAATACAATACTATCAACATTTTTTGGTCTCATATCTATAGTGTTCAGAAGAACTCGAAATCTTGTGACTAAAATACCAAACGCATTTTCTACAATTCCTCCAGCCCTCGACAAACGGTAGTTAAACACTTGTTCTTTATGCGTTGGTGTTCGTGGGTAGGGCTTCATTAGATAAGTCTTTAAAGGAAAAGCCGTGTCTGCCACAATTATCGATCGCTCTGGTAAATTAAGAGTATTATTTTCTAAAGCTTGTGCCAACTTTGATCGTTGAAAAACACCGCCGTCAGAAGCTCTCCCATTAGTTCCAACATTTACATATGAAAAACAGTAATTATCGTCAACTAATGCGAAAAGTATAGTGCTGTGGGCACCCTTATAATTGTAATAATCGGAAGTATCATCAAGAGCACGTATATTTACCTATGTGTTTGCCGTCCAGCGCCCCAATACATCCTGGAAAGTTCCATTTAGTTTGAAATCCATGCTCAATACGCTTCCATTCTTCATGGCACGGAATCTGTAAAAAAGAAAACAAAATCTCTATATCCAATAGTATACAGAAGAATTATTATTATCTAATATTTATTATTATTATTATTAATCTTTTTTACAGGACACAGATGAGTCATCGCAGGATTCTCGACCAACTAGTGCTAATTCGAACTCTAACCCCTTGTCACCGCCATCAGTCAGCACCGTAATGTCGCCACCCTCGACTACTGATATTGCGGAAGAAGGAACACCATCCCGTTCATCTAAGGACACACCAGCACGGCGTAAAAGAAGGAGCATACAAGAAGAGCCGATCACTTCTGCTCTAAATCGTTTAGAAAATATAACTTCGTCTATAAACAGACAAGCAGAATATGATGAATTTCATTTTTTTGGTTTGAATATTGCTGCCCAATTGCGAGCCCTACCATTAGATGATGCACTAAACGTGCAAACTGAGATTCAGACAATTAAAA